TCGCTAAGTGATTAGTGTTGGCCCTTCAGGGAGAGGTTGGCATAGAGCATCGTGCTTGGCTTTCAGACACTACAATAGTGTTATGATGTTAGAATCTTGGAGTGCTTCTCGTCTAGAGTTTCAGTTCTCGTATCTATTATTTGATATTGTGATTTTTTAAAGATAAAGATCTTTCAGGTGTTGCTTTGCTACTTCACCTAGACGAAGTCACGTTCTAGCCGGTCCTTTCTACTACTTTGATTATTCTACTATATTTGATTACTACTTTGATTATTATTGGCCGGGCGGCCGGCCGTGCGGACGCTTTTGCGAGGCTTATATCTCAGCAACCACTTGACCGATTTACATGCGGTAATTTTTGTAGGGTAGCTTCATTCCTTCTACCAAGTATTGGACTATTCTCGATGCATGTGGGTGAACCCTTATGCACGTGCCACGTGCAAAACAAAGAGGTGTCAGTTTTGTTATTGTTGCAATATCTCGGTAACTACTTGGCCGATTGCACTGAAAGTTGGCATGTAGGTAGGCACTCACTAGGCACTGCATATCCATGTGCCAGAGTTGGGGTGCTGCTGCACGTGCGCACGTGCAGGGGTCGTTTCCAGATCTCGAGAACGGCTCAACCGATTGCGCTCAAATTTGGTACACAGTTAGGGACCGGTTAGTTAGGGTGCCGTGCACAAGTCAGTTGGGACCCTTTTTTGCACGTGCGCACGTGCAGGGTGCCGCTTCCAGATCTCGAGAACGGCTGGGCCGATTGTGCCCAAATTTGGCACATCGCTAGAGACCGGTTAATAGGGTGCCGTGCACAAGTCAGTCGGAGGTACCCCCTCGCAATTTCGCACGTGCAAGGCCCACCCTCTCGCTCGCTCCGCTAGTCGCCCCAAAAGGCGTTATACTGGTTATTCAATCATTTCTTTATCCACGTGGCCGGTGTTCACCGCGGTTTGGCGCATGTCTTGATAAATTTGGTTTCGTGTTTCTGCAGACAAGCGAAGTAAGACGTTCGAGATGCCGGCGAACCAGGAGGACCCGTTCCGGTGTCCGGTGCGCTTCATCGAGTTCTACCTAAGCCGGTGGTGAGTGCCGGGTCGGGTGCTGGGGAGGGGCCGGACCACGACGCCTGCAGGGTACCCTGCTTGTCATCAATGTGGTGTGATGCGATACCCGGCGTCACTCCGTAGCTCTGCCCAATATTTAGTAGCCCCTTCCCTGACGCCTCGCTCTCCGGTTCACGACCGTCTGCGGAAAGTTCTCCCGCTCGTCCCTAACAGTACCGTCTCTGACTCCCCCCCCCCTGCCTCCCTCCGCAGCCCGGCGGCGGAGCGCAGCTCCCGCTCTGCGCCGCTGTATCTGACGCCAGCCGCGGACGGCCGGCCCGACGGCGACGCGTGGTTCTCGTCAGAGCCGCTGGCGGCCGAGGCGCTACGCCAGGTGCTCTCCCGACTGCTGACGGTCCGCGAGCTGCAGGCGGCGCTACTGGGCGCCACCGGCGGCGATGGCTCGTGACGGTCACTCTGAGACGCGGCGCGGTGCGCCGTGCCGTCTGGGAGGACCCGACTGCCAGGCCAGTCAGCCGGCCCTCGGCCGAGCTGACCAATCAAACCGCTCCTAGGGAACGGCAGGGGTCACCCGGAGACTGCCTGGTGCCTGTAGAGTGCTCCCCCGCTGATGTTAATCACTCCGGGAGGGGAGGGGGAGGGGGACTGGAGCGATAAGCTGTCTGTTGGTTGTTGCAACGAGTATGAAGAACAGCATCGAACAAGATTGGTTGGCACAGTTGCTGAGTTGGTGAAGTACAAGTCTGTCCTGTTCGGCGGTCAGGATGACGCCGCCGCCCCACCATTGACTGTGGTACGGACTCGCATCAAGATTGAGGCGTCCGTCAGGCCGACGTTGGCGATCCCCGAGCCACTTTCAGATACCGTTTTGCAGCGTGTGCACCGCTGTGTGGATCCCGCCCACCACTCTGCGAACTCATTCATCCGGTGTTTTACATGTTGGTGCGTACCATTCCGTTTCACGACGCACCGATGCCGTCTCATCCCGTGTTGCTCCTTACCTGTATGATATTTGCCGAGAGATGGCGCGATGTGTCACCGGTTGGGGTGTTTCTGGCGGGTGTTCTTCAGCATTGCGCTCACAATTGTTGGGTGAGTGTTTTGTTGAACATCAGACGACCAGCATAATAAATTGTCGATAATCTGTGCAGAGTTTGATACGGGCCTGTTGATCCATACAGGCAAGACAATGGAGACGCAACTTTGGGCACGCTGTGTTGTTTCTTATGCAATATACTATACATGTTTCTCAGCATTTGTGTATGTCGCCAGTGATCGCCATGGGCCAGGCCAGGCTACGGGCTGGGCTGGGCCCTCAACTATGAAGGATGATGGGCTATTGGGCTATGGACGGGCTGGGCCATGAGAACTTTTTAAATGGGCTGGGTTTCGCGACTGAGACAGAAACCATAACTAGGTAGACTATTACTGTGCAGTGTGTAGGACTCAAAAACACGTTAACCCGCGCCCCGCTGGGGGTCCTGGATTTCCACGCCCTGCTGGGGGGGGGGGGGGTGTTTGAACACCCCCCCTTCTAACTCGGCTCCTGGGCCACGTAGCGATACGCGGAAGGCGGCGTTCGAAAGAGCGTCAAAAATAAGGAGGAAATCACTTCGGTCAATTTTTTGGTCAGGTCAAAGGTCAGGTCACCAGAGGTCATTGAAGGCAAAATTTCGCCGATTTCCAGGTCGAATGTCGACAATTTCCAAGAAGCCAACGCATAACTCGGGAACCAATAGAGCTACAGCGCCGCGGAAAAGCGCATTCGATAGCCCTATTAACGCCCTTTCTGAGTAATTCTCTCAGATTTGACCTAACGTCAACGGTTTTGCCTGCAGGGGGCAAAAACTGCAAAAATAGCCGATTTTTTCGGAAACAGTTTTTCTGCAATAACTTTTGACCCAAGCCTTGTACGAGCTTACTTTTAGCGGCATCGTGTTCCTCTCGTCAAGACGCATCGAATGAACTATGACTTGACCTTGAAAGGTCAACTTAAAAATTTGACCTCAGGTCAAGGTCATGACCTGACCGGAAAGGGTCATGTTGCATATCAGTCGATCCGTATCGTCGAGCTGAACACATCTAAGGCGTTTTCATCGCTCTAGCATGCCTCTATCAAAAGTTATTTGCGAAAAACTGTTAGATACCATTCGTGACCTAAGATGACCTCAGGGCATAAACAGGGGTCACGGACAACATTTTTATGTTCAGCGTGTCTAAACCACTTGTAATTCAGTGTTTGGGAGTGTTTGTAATGTTTTTCGTCCAAAAGAGGCGCATTTCAGTTTTCTCCCATTGACTTATAATGGGGAGGTCGCAAAATTGACCTGACCTTAGGTCATCGATATCAAAATTCTGAGATATACATTTTGTACATGCTATTGCTCTTAGCAATCGCTGAAAGTTTCAAAGCGATCGGTCACTCGGTGTAGCTATGACAGACATTGAAACTTTTTATGAGGTGAGGTCACTTCAAGTGACCTGGTGACCTGACCTTGAATGACCTTGGTCTGAAATTTTCATAACATGTGTAGAATTGATGTATGATAAGGTGTACCAAAAACGGCGGCGCTCCGCGCCGCCGTTTTTGAGATATTCGCGAAAAACCACAAGGGGGGGTGTTCAAACACCCCCCCCCCAGCAGGGCGCGGGTTAATGATTATAAAGCATACATGTATGATATGTATTGTGCATGCTGCTCTCAAAAGATTGTTTCATTCCCATTCATTTTTGACGAGCTGGGCCGGGCTGGTTTTTGACACTTTTACTATGAACGGGTTCGGGCTGGGCCGGGCTGTGAACCCATGGGCCTGGGCCGGGCTGGACTGGGATTTTGCTGCCCGTGGCGAACCCTGTATCATGTATGTCGATTGTCGCACTCTGTTGGGACATGCTGCCTCACCGAAAGCGCGGCTACAGGCGGTGCGAATATCCACTGTAATGGTAGACTGTGCCGCGCGACTCTCGAGCGCTGCGGCACAGCCTACCCTCCCAGGTCTGCCGTCTGCGCTCAGCCGGCCGAGGACGGCGAGCCTCGTTCGTTATTTGTAGCGCGCCGGGTGTAGGCTCGTTCGACCGTGTTGATCGCTAGAAAGAGCTGTGACTCTGGTGGAACACTAGGAACAGTCACGAAGAAGGAAAGAGAACAGTGTGATTGATCTTGTCGAGGGAAAAACTTAATCTTATCACGCGATTCTTTGTTGTTGTTTTTTCTCTCATCACTGTCAGATCCACTAACGTCCCGGAAGGATTAAGGAAACTGCCTACGTTAATCTGAGGATAACTAACATGAAAAGGGAAGAATATTAATGAAAAATATACCATTTACCATACGATTTGAACATTTCAATGTCTCGCATTTCGCAGTCACATCTGCGCCAGCAGAGAACGAATAGTGAATTTCGTTGAAGTTTCAGTTGTATAGTTGAGCTCCCTGATTCAAAAGTGTGACATCTTCTATCCGGCGGCAGATAGCAATATCGTGCATTCTGGGCCCGCTTGAGTGGCGCTGCCCGTCGAAGCCAGGTGCCGCTGCCAGCCCGCGGTCGGAGCTCGGTCAGAGTCTGACGCCGCTGCCAGCCCGCGCGGCGCGCGGTTAGAGCTCGGTCAGAGTCTGAGGCCGACGTCGCGCTGCGGTGAGACAGCCGGCCGGCCGCGGCGGACCGCAGCAGGTCTGCGGTCACTCCGAGACGGCTGCCGGTGCCGCTCCTGTCCGCCGTGACGGCTGCCGGTGCCGCTCCTGTCCGCCGTGACGGCTGAGAGTGACGCTCCAGACCGCCGTGACGGCTGAGAGTGACGCGCGGCACGGAGGAGGGGTGCGCGATTGCCGGAGCCGGCTGACCGCAGCCGACCTCAGCGTCACACTGTGAGGACCGCCAGCTGTGGGTGGCTCCAGAGGACCCATATAAGCAGCGGGCGGCCGGCACCAAGACAGCAGCGGCGGCAGAGACGAACCGGCGACCCCTCCTCCGCACCGACTCCGGACCTCAGAGCTAGCGAACATGAGGCTCTGGCTGGCGGCAGCCTGTCTGCTGGCCACTGCTGTGGCCGTGGTAAGTTGCACTAAACTTCTACACACCCGTATAACGCCTTTTGGGGCGACTAACGGAGCGAGCGAGAGGGTGAGCCTTGCACGTGCGAAATTTCGAGGGGGTACCTCCAGCTGACTTGTGCACGGCACCCTACTAACCGGTCTCTAGCGATGTACCAAATTTGGGCACAATCGGCCCAGCCGTTCTCGAGATCTGGAAGCGGCACCCTGCACGTGCGCACGTGCAAAATGGGTCCCAACTGACTTTTGCACGGCACCCTACTAACCGGTCCCTAGCCATGTGCCAAATTTGAGCGCCATCGGTCCAGCCGTTCTCGAGATCTGGAATCGACCCCTGCACGTGCGCACGTGCAGCAGCACCCCAACTCTGGCACATGGATATGCATTGCCTAGTGGGTGCCTACCTACATGCCAACTTTCAGCGCAATCGGCCAAGTAGTTACCGAGATATTGCAACAATTGCAAAAGTGACACCTCTTCGTTTTGCACGTGGCACGTGCATAAGGGGTCACCCACATGCATCAGGAATAGTCCAATAGGTACTACTAGGTAGAAGGAATGAAGCTACCCTACAAAAATTACCGCGTGTAAATCGGTCAAGTGGTTGCTGAGATATAAGCGTCGCAGAATCGTGACCACGGCCGGCCGGCCGGCCGCTCATACTCAGAAATTTCCGTTATTCTACATACGTAAGACTCCGCTCGCTTCGCTCGCTCCGTAATTATGCTCGATAGCGGCCACCGTTCCAAGAAAACTATAAGATGTGAAGTGATTCTTACAGTAAATGGTGTGCTTGACGTTGTGGCACCTGTCACCTAACTACATTGGGAAAACATTGGCACGAGCACCTGACGTTGGCTCACAGAAATACCGAACACGTGTGCTTTAACCCGCGCCCAGCTGGGGGTCCTGGATTTCCACGCCCTGCTGGGGGGGGGGGGGGGATGTTTGAACACCCCCCCCCTTCTAACTCGGCTCCTGGGCCACGTAGAGATACGCGGAAGGCGGCGTTCGAAAGAGCGTCAAAAATAATGACGAAATCACTTCGGTCAATTTTTTGGTCAGGTCAAAGGTCAGGTCACCAGAGGTCATTGAAGGCAAAATTTCGCCGATTTCCAGGTCGAATGTCGACAATTTCCAAGAAGCCAACGCATAACTCGGGAACCAATAGAGCTACAGCGCCGCGGAAAAGCGCATTCGATAGCCCTATTAACGCCCTTTCTGAGTAATTCTCTCAGATTTGGCCTAACGTCAACGGTTTTGCCTGCAGGGGGCAAAAACTGCAAAAATAGCCGATTTTTTCGGAAACAGTTTTTCTGCAATAACTTTTGACCCAAGCCTTGTACGAGCTTACTTTTACCGGCATCGTGTTCCTCTCGTCAAGACGCATCGAATGAACTATAACTTGACCTTGAAAGGTCAACTTGAAAATTTGACCTCAGGTCAAGGTCATGACCTGACCGGAAAGGGTCATGTTGCATATCAGTCGATCCGTATCGTCGAGCTGAACACATCTAAGGCGTTTTCATCGCTCTAGCATGCCTCTATCAAAAGTTATTTGCGAAAAACTGTTAGATACCATTCGTGACCTAAGATGACCTCAGGGCATAAACAGGGGTCACGGACACCATTTCCATGTTCAGTGTGTCTAAACCACTTGTAATTCAGTGTTTGGGAGTGTTTATAATGTCTTTCGTCGAAAAGAGGCGCACTTTTGAATTTTCTCCCATTGACTTATAATGGGGAGGTCGCAAAATTGACCTGACCTTAGGTCATCGATATCAAAATTCTGAGATATACATTTTGTACATGCTATTGCTCTTAGCAATTGCTGAAAGTTTTAAAGCGATCGGTCACTCGGTGTAGCTATGACAGATATTGAAACTTTTTATGAGGTGAGGTCACTTCAAGTGACCTGGTGACCTGACCTTGAATGACCTTGGTCTGAAATTTTCACAACATGTGTAGAATTGATGTATGATAAGGTGTACAAAAAACGGCGGCGCTCCGCGCCGCCGTTTTTGAGATATTTGCGAAAAACCACAAGGGGGGGGTGTTCAAACACCCCCCCCCCCAGCAGGGCGCGGGTTAATAGGTAGCTGGCCGTCACGTTTACTAATGTCTCCATACCCATACCCAGGTATGCTAAAAAAATGCTGCATACTGTGGGACCGATTCCCTTCTTCCATATCATGATAAAGAGAGTACACGTTCAAGCTTTGTTACAATGAAATACCCGTCACTTTCCCCTTCGTGACGGCACCGCCCGACGACCTAGATATACCAGAAGGTCGGCGGACCGGTCCTTCATTGTGCAACCACCTTGCATATAACGCACAGGCACTGGCGAACCCCAACCAGTCTACCAGTCGACCACAGTTGCAATACAAGTCTCGGCCCGCTCAGTCGTCTCCTTCCGCGCCTCCGCGACAATGGTGGCAGCGGCGGTCGAGGGGACTTGTGCCCCTCACCACGGACCCCAGCCTCTACATCTGCACTGACATCGCAGACTGGTTAGTCCGTGCTCCGTGACAGTGTATCGCCCCTACGTCGCGTCATCGACTAGGGAGCTGATCATCCTGGACTCGTCATCGTCCAGCAGCACCGTCTCCAGTGAGTAGCTCTGCCCAGCAAGACTATCTGCCCTGCGGCAAGGTCATCAGCTACCCTGGACTACTACGGAGCCCGCCGACAGCGCACGGCTCATCAGCCCGCGCCGTCCTCCTCAGCATCATCGAGTGATGGACACCACCTCGCCGAAGGACTCAAGATCGGAGGAGAGAAGATAAAACAAAAACTTCAACGCTAAATTCAAGACAACTTGACACCCAAAATCAAGAAAATTCACCCATTATGAACTTTTGCTGTATTTTCGTCCAAAAGTGACAGTGAAATTGTGCTGTGAAATTTGTTTTAACTTCGATGTGTTTCAAAAACCGTACTGTTTCATTATCCGTTTTCGTCAGTGTTCTGTCGTTTGTTGCGCTTCATTGTGGTTGCCCACCCCAAAATTCACGGAGAAATTGCAAGTGCGTTTAATTTTTGCCTGCACTTTGCCGTGTCATTTTGACACTAGTAAACGTAGAACGAGCATACTCTGAACGGTATGAACATTCAAATACGTTAATCGTCGTCAATTCACTGAATTTATATTGTGTTGATATTCGGCCAGAGATGCCGAGGGCCATGGAGATGCCCAGGGACCGTCCCCGCCAAGAGTGCGGAGGGATCGCCCGGTAGTAGGTGTAATTGTCACGAAACTTACTTATCTGTTCATACCATTTTGTGATACGCTCATATGGAAATTTCTTTCTCCGTCAGCTAAACGTTTCCTCTCTTTGTTATGATCGCTTCGGTTCCCTACGCTTCCCTGGGGGAGGGAAGATAATGTGGGACCGATTCCCTTCTTCCATATCATGATAAAGAGAGTACACGTTCAAGCTTTGTTACAATGAAATACCCGTCACTTTCCCCTTCGTGACGGCACCGCCCGACGACCTAGATATACCAGAAGGTCGGCGGACCGGTCCTTCATTGTGCAACCACCTTGCATATAACGCACAGGCACTGGCGAACCCCAACCAGTCTACCAGTCGACCACAGTTGCAATACAAGTCTCGGCCCGCTCAGTCGTCTCTCCTTCCGCGCCTCCGCGACAATACCTACATACCTATTGAAACAGTTCTCTAAAAGCTTATGACTTTAATGTTTTTCCCGTTTTCCCCTTGTTCAGCCTCACGGTTTACTGACTACCGCGTCGCTTTTCAGCGCATGGACAGCTGGGACGTTCGTAAGGAATACGGAACACGGTCCAAGTTCCCGTCTCGTAGCGTGTACGACGGGAGCCGAAGAGTCCCCGCTGATCGCTCTTCGTCTTCCGACTACGACCGCCGCGAGCTCCAGGACAGGAAGGAGTTGGACCGTGAACTGAGCGGGCCGCGGGCGGTGGACGAAGACAGGTCAGAGGGCCGTGCCCAGGACTGGCAGAGGAGGGCGGCTCACCACTGGGACCGCGCCCAGTACGAGGACCGCCGGGAGGAGGCGGACCGCTGGGACCAGGACAGGTGGTCCGAGGACGACCGGGAGGTCCGCCCCAACCGCCGCGTGCCGCCGAGCCCGCGCCACCAGTGGCACACGCAGCGCGCCGTGCCGGGGGAGCCTCCGTCACGCGGCGTGCCGGGAGAGCCTCCGTCCCGCGGCGTGCCCGGCTCGCCGCCGTTCCGCGGCTACGACCTACAGAGCCGCGGCATCAACTGGGCGACCTCGCATCGCGGCGAGTTTCAGTTCATCGCGCGCCTGTCGGCCTACTACACCAAGAGTGGCGACTGGTACTACGAGCCGTGCGGCGCCTCCATCATCAGCCCCGTCTTCCTGCTGACGGCCGCGCACTGCTTCGACCACCAGCGGGCGGCCGTGGGACACGTGGTCCCGGCGCTCGTCTACGCCTACCTTAACGACTTTGACACCACGCGGCCGGACGAGTCGGCCATCGTGAACGCCTCGGAGGTCATCCTGCACGATAATTACACCCCGCGGGACAGCGACCGACCGCTCAACGACGTGGCAGTGGTGCGGCTCTCCAGTCCGCTCGACTTCAAAGCGCTCGGCGTCGGTAGCATTTGCCTCGACTCGGCCCCCATTGGAGACAACGTCGACATGACCATCGCCGGCTGGGGCAAGACAGCCGAGAACGCCGCCCACATGAACACCCAGCTCTTCAAGTCGACCAACGAGAAAACGCTCAGCCTCGACCGGTGCAAGTACGACACGTCCTACTCGCCGGACGAGATCGACTCAGACGCCATCTGCGCCAGCGGCGCCAACCAATTCGGGGTGCAGGATGCGTGCCAGGGCGACTCGGGCGGACCCATGTTCCACCAGAAGAACGGCCAGTTCGCGCAGACGGGCGTGGTGTCGTGGGGTCGCGGCTGCGGCCGCGCCTCCTACCCGGGCGTTTACGCCAGGGTGTCCAAGTTCGCCAACTGGGTGGTCGCCAAGACCAACGGAGACGCTGACACGTGCTAGGTGGCGGCGCCGTTAAGTCAGCGCTGGCCGGCGGTCGGGTCGGGTGTGGACGGAGGCGGGGACGGTCGGGTCGGTGCCGGGAGGAGAGGGGAGTCGGGGAGTCGCTGCGTCCCGCCACTCGCGCTCGGCGGCTCCCCGACCAGTGTCAGCGGGACGATCGGTTGACCTGAGGTCAGAGGCTTACTTAGGCCCAGTGAACTCAGCCAACCGGCCCGCCGGCAACCTCACCATCCTCACTTTCTGACTCTCTGTATATAGACAACTTTACTGTGTGCTTAGCATGGAAAATCTACATAAAAAATGTGGTAGAAGGCAAGTAGCTGGTCGCTGCCCTCCGTGCCTTAGGTTCAATAGAACATCCTTGAACTAAACAGAGCTACTTCTAAAATAGTTAATATATTACTGACAAAGAGACGACTAGTTGAGTTTGTAATCGGAGTCTGACATAAAGCATAGTGATTGGGTAATTACGGAGCGAGCGAAGCGAGCGGAGTCTTTCCTTAGATTAACCCGCGCCCCGTAGGGCTACCGGCGGACCCTACCACCCGTAGGGGGGGGGGGCCGTTTCGGCCCCCCCCTAAGATCTCGGAAAGTTACCTGCCGATTTTCAAAATTCAAACGGCGTTTGATAGCCCTACCCGGGAACTACCTTGTGACCAAATTTCATTGACCTAGGTCAAACCGATGACGTCACAGGTCAGGTCAAAGGTCATATTTTCACCGTTCACAGGCAATTCAAGAAATGTGCTGTGAAATCGAGTAAATTGGTAATTTATTGAAAACCATCGATGGTATATTGTTCGTCAAACACATACTTTGCTATCTGAGGTCACTGATACCAGGTCAGGTCACAGCGAGGTCAGGTCACCGGGGGTCACAATATGAATGTGTCGTGTGATGCATGTTTTATGGTCCATTTTACATGACAAATGCGATTATGTGGGTTAGGCAGCCTTTGGGGCCAGCCTAGGTCACGTTTTGGTGAAGGTCAGGTCAAGGTCAGGTCAAATTAGGTCAAATTTCAAAGTTGATATTTTTGCATAAAATGGGTATCCATTAGATGCAGCTCGTCACGGGGAGTCTAATGGTGGTCTTTGTTTTGCTCTACGAGTTCTAGAATTGCCAAAAATCGAGTTTGAAAATTTGACGTCATCATTTTTGAACAGTTTTTTCGCTATAACTTGGCCAAAAAACGAGGTATCGATCTGAAATCTGGTATGTAGATAGAAAACGGTAGGTACTATCACATATATTCCGGTTTTTTCGAAACTCAAAAAACTTTTTGGATTTTTTGGCTAATATATCCCAAAAAATGCTTTTTTGATTTTTGGGGATCAAAACTCAAAAATTTCAAAAATCCGAGATAGCAGTTTTGTAGCCCTGTCAATTATACACCTTTTATGTCTTGATCATTTTTCTGTATCTTCAAAGCTGTAGGCCTGACAGGTCTTCTCGCGAAGGTCTTTTTTCGGTCGAAAATGACAGAACATGACGTCACTCTGACGTCATTTGTGGCCAACCTATCACAGCCTCTGGAAAAAAGTTTTTGTCACAATGTGTAAAATTGATGCCCGGAGGGGCCCTGAAAGTTTGGTGGCGATATCTCCAGCCGTTTAGGAGATATCGACCGAAAAGGACAGGGGGGCGTTTCGGCCCCCCCCTACGGGGCGCGGGTTAACGGAAATTTCTGAGTATGAGCGGCCGGCCGGTCGTGCGGACGCTTTTGCGAAACTTATATCTCAGCAACCACTTGACTGATTTACACGCGGTAATTTTTGTAGGGTAGCTTCATTCCTTCTACCAAGTATTGGACTATTCCCGATGCATGTGGGTGACCCCTTATGCCGTGCCACGTGCAGAACGAAGAGGTGTCAGTTTTGTAATTGTTGCAATATCTCGGTAACTACTTGGCCGATTGCGCTGAAAGTTGGCATGTAGGTAGGCACCCACTAGGCACTGCATATCCATGTGCCAGAGTTGGGGTGCTGCTGCACGTGCGCACGTGCAGGGGTCGTTTCCAGATCTCGAGAACGGCTGGATCGATGGCACTCAAATTTGGTACATGGTTAGGGACCAGTTATTAGGGTGCCGTGCACAAGTCAGTTGGGACCCATTTTGCACTGCGCACGTGCGAGGTGCCGCTTCCAGATCTCGAGAATGGCTGGACCGATTGTGCCCAAATTTGGCACATCGCTAGAGACCGGTTAGAAGGGTGCCGTGCATAAGTCAGTTGGAGGTACCTCCTCGCAATTTCGCACGTGCAAGGCCCACCCTCTCGCTCGCTCCGTTAGTCGCCTCAAAAGGCGTTATACTGGTGAATTATGAAATCAGCAAAGCTTCTGCATATCACACTGCAATGCATCAGGGAAATGCAACATGTCAATGCTGATACTATTTCAAAAGAGGATTAGGCTGTAAACATAAATATGCACATTTTTAACTTTGATGCCGTAATGTGATTCCAATCAAAACACAACCCTTATGGACACTACCTTTTAACCTTAACCCGCGCACCGACGGGGGTCTGCGCCAACTTCGTACCGACGGGGGGGGGCGGATGACCGCCCCCCTGAGATCTCGAGAACGAAGCAAGATAGCGACAAGCGGTAAACGGCAAGGGATACGCACGGACAAGGTCTACAATTTTTACTAAGGTCATTTTCAGGTCAGGTCAAAGATGACGTCACAGGGGTCAAAAAGTCAAAATGGCGGCGCTAGGTATAGGGAGAGTTTTTCTCGAATAACTTTCGAACTAGTCAATATAGGAACAAACTAAGGGCATCATCGTGATCCTCTCGTCAATCCGCATCGAATGATATATATGTTGACCTCGAAAGGTCAAGGTCAAAGGTTAACCTCAGGTCACGTGACCTCGAGGTCATCATGTATATCATGAAAGTGAAAGAACCTCCATGAACCTCCATGGATGACAAAAGAAATAAGAAAAGAAATCAAGAAAAGGAAAGAAATAAACAGGAAAAAACGAAATGCCTCAACTCAGGAAGAGGTAAAGGCCATGGAACTATTGTATTTAAAGCAGAAAAGACATGCACAAAGCCTGGTCAAAGAGCAGATGAGTATACATGAAAAGAAGATAACCAATGAAATAAAATGCAGCACAAACAGAAGCAAGGCGCTATGGATGAACATTGACAACCTAAGGAGAAAGGATGGCAAAAAGAATGAGGAAACCAACCTATTCAGCACAGATGGACATAGACTAGAGAAAAAGGAAGAGAAGGAAGAACTGGTAAGATATTGGAAGACTGTATACCAAAAACATGAAAATGACATAAATCAGGTATGGAATGAAGAAAAGAAAAGTGAATACATCAGAACTTTGCAACATGATGAGCAAACTATCAATGCCAGAAGACCACTTAAAGATCATGAAGAGTTGGCTCAAACTGCTATAAGTGAATTGAAGGCCATGACTGAGCCAATCATAAGCGAAGAAAAGGTTCAAAGATGTGTTAAAAACATGAAAGGCAAGACATCAGCAGGTCCTGATGGACTGAAAGCAGAGATGTATAAAGCACTCCTAAAGACAAGGGACGGATTGAAAATATTAACGAGCTGTATAAGAAGAGAAGTGGAAGAAAGAAGGAAAATGAGTGAATGGAAAACATCAAAGACAAGAATGATAAAGAAGGTGCCACGCCCAACAGCAAAAGACCTTAGACCTATAGCGCTCACAAATGTAGGGTATAAAATCTTCATGACCCTAATGAAAAATGAGATTGAAGAACACATAAGAGAAAATGATGCTATAATTGAAACCCAAGCTGGATTCACGAAAGGGGGGAAGATTGAAGATAACCTCTACATCCTGAACTATTGCGTAGAAGACAGCTATAAAAGGAAGACCCCACTGTATGTTACATCAATCGATTATAGAAAAGCATTTGATTCCGTGAAAAGAAGTGAAATGATAAGAGCTTTGATGGCATATAAGATCCATCCAAAAGTTATAGATGCCGTAGCAGATATATACCAAGGAGACTCTACACTGATCAACTTGAATGAGAGCACAACAGAGGAAATGGACGTGACAAGTGGAATTCGACAAGGATGTACCGGTTCTACAGCATTGTTCAAGATTGTTACGTATATAATCACCAAAGAAATACAGGAGACAACGCTTGGGTTCAGAAACAGGAAATTCTACATTCCAATACTGTTCTTTGCAGACGATGGACTAATATTAGCACATTCACTTCATGAAACACAACTGCTGATCAAAGTTCTAACCGAAGTGAGTAAGAAGTGTGGTCTGGATATTAACAAGGATAAAAGTGCTGTATTGGTATTCAATTGCAAGGAACAACCAGCTGAAGTAGAAGGAATACCGACAACAGACAAGTTGAAGTATCTGGGTATAAGGATTGGAAATCAGCGAAACATGTTCAAGGAGCAGAAACAGCAGATGATAGAAAAAGCTCAAAGGATGGCAAACATGACTTATGGGGTGATCGCGAGAAGTTGCAACAAGCTCATGATAGGAAAAACATTCTGGAAGAGCCTTGCTCTACCATCCATTTTGTATGGTGCCAACATATTCTACATAACGGAAGAAGAGGTAAAGAAACTGGAAATGATAGAAAACGGAGTATATCGACAGATACTCGGTGCACCGAGATATACCGCCAACTGTGCCCTCCGGGGCGAAATTGGAGCTTCGACGATGAAAACAAGAGTTATGAAAGGGCATCTACAGTATGTTAGAAGCACTCTTCAAGGAAATAACCAACTATTGAAGGAAGTAATAGAAACTCAATTAGAAGAGAAGAGTACGAAATGGGCAAAAATGATCAACGCGCACCTAGAAACGCTAAACCTAAGCCAAAAAGACCTGAGAGACTTGAAGAAAGAAGAACTTAACCAAAATATGATCAGGTGGGACGATAAAAGATGGAAAGAGGAAGTAGAGACCAAAACAAGTCTGAGGATATACAAGAGATGGAAACTGAAGGTAAAAGAAGATGATGTATATGACAACACCCCACAATCAAGAATCCTCTTTCAAGCAAGAACGAACACTCTCCCTCTGAACTCTAGGAAGAGGTTTACAAAAGAGAAAACAAACTGTGTTCTGTGTGATGAACAAAATGAGGATCTAAAACACTTCTTGTTGGAATGTCCAATATTGAGTGAGATTAGAGAGAAATGTCCCGAACTGCAACAGCCATACTGGGAAGATAAAGAAGAAGTCATTATGAAATTTCTATTTGATGATAATAGGAAACATATGGAAGATAAGAAACAAATTCTATACAGCATGTGGAAGTTAAGATATAGAAGGCAAAAAGAAAAAGAGCTCAATACTATCATGCACCCCATACCAACTCATAGCGCGATAGCTTAAGTACAGTTTAAAAGAATAGGAGGAGCCGTTGCAAAGGCAAATCCTCTAAACCATCATCATCATCATTATCATTCGATGCGTCTTGACGAGCTGAACACAATGAGACCATCCACGCGTCTGTATCTTGTTCCTGTACGGAGTTATTGGCCAAAAACCTTTGGTGACCTTTGATGACGTCACATGACCTCACAGCTGCCCAACAGCAAAACAGACCTCAAGGTAGTGAAGGTTGATCGTATATGAAGACATGTATGGTATATGGGGCCATTCCGACCCGTTTTAGTGGTAAAAACAGGGAGTTGATTTTTCCCCCATTGACTTATAATGGGGAGGTCGAGAAATTGACATGACCATAGGTCATCGATATCAAACTTCCGAGATAAACAAATTGTAGCTACTAATGACCTTATAACATCCTGCGACTTTCAAAGGCCTCCGACATCTACTGTAGCTCTGGCACGGTGACAAAGTTGCAAAAAAGTAACTTGAGGTTGGGTCATTCAAAGTGACCTGGTGACCTGACCTTAAAAGTTAGGAGGTTCAAACTTGCACACCATGTGTAAAATTGATGAGAGAATGGTCGTACCAAATTTCGCGGCGCGCTATTCGCGAAAAACCTCAGGGAGGGGGGCGGATATCCGCCCCCCGTCGGTGCGCGTGTTAAAACCTTGCATATTGCACATTATATTCCAACATTAACTTTCATGGACAACGGACGCACTTCTACGATCGTCCATACGCAGTCGCACAGACAGACAGACAGACGCTGAGTCTCGGGCCGGGTGCCAGTATATTCATAAGCAGCATAGTGGAGTGAAAAATATGTCGGCGCACTTTGCCATCACAGTGTCGGTCGGCCTCAGGTTTCGGTGCACTCCCGGAGACCGATCAGACAGGTCAGAGGCCGCCGATCTAGCGGGCGGCCCACACAGGCGACTACATGAGATTGACACAGGCGGGCACGGTCCGTTCAGACCCACCCCTCCTGGCACACCAGCGCGTCCGGGTACCGCTCCTCCGGTAACCCACGGGCTACACACGCATACACACACATCGTAACAGGTTCAGGCCGTAACAGGTTCAGGTTCAGACGCCTATCACGAAGACAACATCTCGTGTGCTTTTGTTCGCCGGTCTGCGGGGCTGACACGTGGTTTGTTGAAAGTTATTTGGGAATATACGCGCACGACAGTATGTAAGCGTATGACGGAAAGTCGAAGAGTTTCGCCTATCTCATAAACACAACTCAAAAAAATGTCGGGTGCTGAGTGTATGTAGTTTTAGCTAAAACGTTTAAAGCACATATAAAAAATGCATGACAATTCGGTGTCGACCTTGGGAGACCGAAGTATATTCTTATAATACTAATTATTGATGAGTCATCGACGGGAATAGGAAGATAAGTACTAATTATGACCGGATCCCACCATAATCCAGCGGATACCACAGGCTGAGTTGGCGTGAATTGGCTCTCATCAGCACCTTCTTTGTACCGAAGAACACCAGATATGACGCTGCAAAGAATGCAACATGTGCATTGTGCAACGTGACGCAGTGCTGCCGTCAGATTGTGATAATAAAAACTGTTTTATGTAACGTCTGAACAAAAGCCATTATGGTCGAATGGCCAATCGCATATTACGCATTAACCCGCGAGTTGCTGGGGGGGGGGGGGCGTCAAACGCCCCCACTTTTTTTCGCTGGGCCATAGCAAAAAACGGCGCGCCACAGGCGCGCCAAATTTTAGGTACCTGTAGGGAATTGATTGAAGTTTATTGTGACAAAGTTTCAAAAAAATCGGTCCGAAATTTTTTGAGATATCGAGGTTTTAGTGACGTCATGATTTCTGAGTTTTCGACCAAAAACGGCATATGTTCAAAAAATCATATAAAATCACAAAATAGACATACAGACATGCCGTAAGCGCCATTAGACTTCCAATACCATGAACAATCAAATGGCAATCTTCGATTATTGATTATCGTTCCGCATTTTCCAAAATTTTGAACTGAATCTTGGCAATTTCTCATGACTTCTTCACGACCATGATACATGCATTTCTTAAATTGAAATTTTTGAGCCAAACACGTACACATATGATAAAATGAATGTCACCATCGTGTTCTACGTCCCAAATTACCCATAAAACATGTGTCACAGGCTGCGAATATCAGTTTTGATTTTCGGGGACATCTGCCTACCCGGTTGACCTGACCTTGACCCTGACCTATGCTTGACTGACCCCTACATGGAGCTGACACTCTTGTAGGCCTTATATGATGGATTTTGCACCGTTTTGACAGAGTTTATGACGAGAGGCGCCCATTGCGAAGTCCTGAAGTCCATGCTACTGCAAGCCCGATTTCAGGTGTTTGACCTGACCTTGACCTGACCTGTGACCTCAAAATTTAACTTCAAAGTATTCATCTGAAGCGTCTCGTCGCGTCCTTTGTTTTCCTGCCTCGTGCGTTTCGCTGCGCCTATTGGTTCTCGAGTTATCGGTTGGGGGCGTTTAACGCCCCCCCCCCCCCAGCAAACGGTGGGTGGCGAAATACCCCAGCAACTGCCGGGTTAATTAGTGACAATATCGGACTAGCTTTTTACTTCCTATACAGCTACTGCATTCGTGTCAGTCATTGGGCCTATTGATATTTCAATGCACAGTGTTCCTGTGCACAGTCACATCTTGTGTAGGGTGTCGGTGCATTGAACATTGTCTCACCCTGCCTTATAGCCTCGGTAAAGGATCACCGAGTCACAGCAGCGATCTCTCATATACGCAGAATCAGACCCGACTATGACGACTATCCCGCACGGAGGGACCAGCGGAGACGCGGCGGAGGGCAGTCGGTCCTTCCAGGGAGGGTCGGGGGACGCTGACTGCAGGTTCACCGCTCTCCGATCACACACACGCGCACAGACAGACGCTGTGCCGGAGACGGCTGTCCGCCGCGCGGACAGGGAACTCTCGGCCTACTATCACTGTGAGGGAGCCGACCGGACGCCGACCGGCGAGATCACAAACCTGTCACACAGCACCGCAGCGCCGCGCCCACAGCACTCGGAAAATACTCCACAATAGACTCAGCAGACAGGTCAACGGGCGGGTCAGAGGTCGCGGGTCAACGACTGATATTTGTCAGCACAGCTGCTCGGGGCTCATCGCGGGCCATTCAGAGGATCATCTCCAGCGGCCGAGCTTCCACCATCTCCAGTGTCAGAGGTTGGTCCACGGAGGCCGCCGCCGTGCCGCGGCCGTGCCCCCGTTGGCCGGCGTTAGGGGCCGGCCGGCGCGCCGTGAGCCGGAGCGGGCCGCGGCCCGGCCACCGGCCGCCACTCGGGATCGGCCTCCTCGTCACTGGATGTCGACGGTACTGAATCGGTGCTGGAGTCCCCGTGTCATACGATGGTGCCCTGCCGACAGACAGTCCGTCACACCGGGGGACAGTGACGGAGCAGTCCCGGGGATGGGCAAAGGCTGCAACTACATACTACTCAATACCTGAATAACTTGAATCATCATCAATTCAACTGCGTCAATTACTTGAACCGTTCCATGGTCTCATTGGGTTGGCTACAAGAGCCGATGTTCAAAGCTCACTATCTAGAAAGGCAATATTGATCATTGATTTATTTCATCCACTAGCACGGGGTGGGTGTTTTGGGAAAGGCTACGAATGAGCTCGCGGACAGCACTTAATTGGGCTGGCATTTAAGTAACTGCTGTTTAATTTAGGTGCTTGTAATTATCAAGTTTGATGGAAATCGAGCCCACTAAAAATCTGCTGCCACTATAATCTATTATGCAGTAATTGTATCGGGGTCATGACCTTTTAGAACTAAACCGTTTGCTATGGTGTGCGTTCTTAACCCTCGCATGCGTGCGGCGTTTGCCAGCTTCTAATGTGTAGGGGGGGGGGGTCGGTTGGACCCCCCCCCCCTTGCCGTTTGGCCCCTGATCGAGCTAGAGCTTCGCGGAAAAAACGAGCGTGTTGCCCGTAACGAGAGGAAGCCGATGATACCCAATTTTAATGTCCTAGGTCATTGGTTGACCTTCCAGGTCAGGTCAATGACCCAAAGTCGGGAAAATCGGGACCTGTTAGAAAGTCGTAAAGTGTGGCTGCTAAGGGGTTTTTCGGGGTGCTGATCACGAATATCGTGTTAGTTTTGATCACAGATGATGTCTTGAAGCATTTAGACCAGGTCGAGTCAGGTCAGGTCAGGTCAACCAGTAGGCGTCGTGACGGGTATTCGTAGTACGTGTCAACCGCCTCTGACAGCTTCGTAACATGTTACGAAGTCACCAAAACTACTTCGTAAATGTTCAAATGGTTGCTAAATTCGAATTCAGCTCCAAAAACTAGCCTAGAAACATGTAAAACTCGAAAAAGTGACCCGAGGTCACCCGAGGTCACCAAAGGTCAATGACCTGACCTGACCTTCAGGTGACCTTGACACACACGGGAGTAACATCAAATCACATGTTTGAACGTTTGAAACCACGAAAAGCTTGCAAACACGCGGCTAGTGCGAGCCGACATACGCGAAATCGCGATTCCGGCCAAACATGGTCTCGGAAAAGAGGTCACAGGTCAAAGGTCATTTGGGTCAGGGTCATGAAATTTTCTGGGTAGGTGTCAAATTGATCAATGCGAGGGTACTGAAAGTTTCGTCGCGATCGGCCGCTTTTTACGCGAGTTATTCGCGAAAAACCATGGGGGGGGGTCCATCCGACCCCCCCTACACATGCGAGGGTTAATTAATGATAATTTACCTAATCGTCATAAAAACAAATGTTAATAGGTGCACGGCTATAAAACGGAAGGAAGTATAGGAAGTATAGGAACTCAAGGAAGCATTCTGTCTTGACCCAATTATAACTGAGAGCTAGCAAACAAGCAATAGGTTTAAGTAGGTACTTTTGGTACCAAAGGCATGTCCGTCATTGGAGAGAATCATATCATACAATTCCGCCTCCTTGAAATGTAAAGATATACAATTTTCGAAAAGCCTAGTACAATGGCTACCCTTTTTCAAAGCTTCAGAACACGCTACGACTCAGCTATCTAAGATAACCAGAGGTGATATTCATGGCAAAATTTGAAACGTTTCTCAGTTAAAAGTCTCTTTAAAGGGGCAGACGTATAACCGCCACGGTCTACCCACGGCCTGCCCGCTGTATCGGACCCACCTCGAGGTGAATGCTGGGGATGGAGGACTCGGAGCCGGAGCCGAGCGTCACGGCCACCTGGTGCTCCTCGGGCGGCGTCACCTTCAGGCCGATGCTGTCCGTGGCCGGCATGTGCACGGTGCGCTCGCGCAGGCTGGGGTTCAGCGGTGGCAGCGTGTCGCCCAGGCCGCCCAGCTCCTCCAGACTGGAGATGTTGCGCGTGTTCTCGTACAGACTGAGTCGCAGCGAGTTGGAGCGCTGCGCGGGCAGAGCGCGACCAGCTGAGTGCGCGGTGGGGGGCGCCAGGCGGCCGGAGGAGCGCGCGCGCCAACCGACCAGGCAGGGAGGCGGGGCACTATGTGGCATCGGCACGGGTGCGGGACCGTGAACTGTGGATGGGTGAATTTGAGAGGGGGATCTTATGCAAAGCGTTGTCAGTTGCAGCAAACCAATCAGCGTCCTAGTGGGAGAGGACATGACGTAATCGGTGCCAGCCAACTGATCGCTGGTGCGTAGTAGTATCACTGAATGCGCGCAAATACCAAGCTTGTAAGTGTGATTCTTAAAAACATCGTAATGTGCAGGCAGGTGAAAGTTATTGCCTTCATTATTGCTATGACATAGGACGGCTCAGATTAGACAAATCCAGGCTGAAGGGTGATATGGGCCTATCTGTTAGTAGTTCGTGCTTGTCTATTGACAGCAGCCTTGTCCGGGCCTGCTCTACAATGGAAGTCCGTCTAATTACGCGGCGCTTGGGCAGGGAAACACGCATGGTCATCCCTACGGGTGCGCATGTACACGCCAAAGCATAGCCTTCATCACAGCCCAGCAATCAAAGAGAGAGACAGTTAGGAGTCGTGCTCGGTTACTTCAAACGTGATCATCTTCCCTGAAGGCTGAAACAGGACAGTCGTGAGTGTTAGAGGTAGATATGAAAGATTTCAGCCACGTAAGCCGAGCGCAAGACCGCTCTGCTGAGAAGGCAGAAAGAGTTTTAGAGGAATGTGCTGCATCGCAGCTTTAGAACTAAACAGTACAACAATTCAAGTGGCATTTTCAGGGTTTCTTCATCTCACAACTGCCCTTTTGCATACTGATTTAAGGGAGAAAACTCAGATATTGATAAGATACTAAAAAAATGGCATCAACAGGTCTGATGCATCTATTGAAAATGTATCGGGATCCCAGCATGTCAGTCGGGTGTTTCATCTGTTCATTTGCTCGCGTCTGAGCCCGCCCTAGGACCGCATCACCGTGCCGCCCTCAGGTTCGGCCGCTATACCAGCCTTATCAGTCCTCCACTACCAACCTTATCAGCCCGCCGCTACCAGCCTGATCAGCCCACCGCTACCAACCTGATCAGTCCTCCATTACCAACCTTATCAGCCCGCCGCTACCAACCTTATCAGTCCTCCGTCACCATTCTTTTCAGTCCTCCTCTCGTCATTCTGCCTCTACTGACCTTCATCATCCCGCCGCCATCAGCCCGCCATCACTGACCTTCATGAGGATGTCGTCGACACGCAGTGAGCTGGAGCGCGCCCGCTGGTGCGGCGGATTCTGGTGCGGGCTGTCCGGCAGGCTCAGCGAGTTGCTCTTGGCTACCGTGTTGCGCGAGCACGCGCTGCCGCGCCGCCGCGGGTCGCACATGGATATGTTGGACTTTCGCCGGCTGTTGTGCCGCTCGAACGTCTTCTGCGCCGAGAACGGGCTTGGCCGAATCAGGTATCTGAGGGAGGGAAGGCGAGGCGTGAGCTCGAGAACAGGAGCCTTTGGAAGGGGCTCTGGTTTAATAGCACATGAATGCTGGGAGGTGAGCCAGTAAGTATAAAACCGTTGAGTAATAAATATTTTGGCGATTTTGATGACGAACGACAAAATCTAAGACAGCAAAACAGCAAACATTTAAGATAACACTGTTCACAAAAATATGAGGCCTAGCTGGCGTTAGCGATCTTCACCTCCCCCTGCCCGACAGGTCCGGCTCGAGATTACATCGTTAGAGTCACGAACGATGTCGGCTACTGAGCATCGAGTGATATTACAGGCGATGTCGCCAGCTGACCCGAGACGATGGAACCGGATCCGCTTTTTACTATCGGTTATGCAATCTGCAGCTTGATCAGTGTCACACCGTTGATTTCATCTGTCTAGATAAGATTATTTGGACACCAGCTGAGACATTCTGCTGTCTTTGACCCGCCTACCTTTTGACTTCCTATCCTCCTTTAACCACTGACGCCCGTTTCCAGGCTGTTCTTGGAACTGTCATACTGTAGAAGACGGCTCACTCTAATCGGCTTAGTGGTTCGAGCTTTCATGGGGCTTCTAACGTTTTGACTGTCGTCTGCCTTTTATAAAGACTAAAGCATAGTAATTTTTGATAAGGTAGAGTAGATACGTTTTTTCATGTTAAAGCGAAACGTGAAATGATAAAATGTTTTTGCTTTATTTTGCAGGAAGATTGCAGTTTTATGTGTTCTATTTGGCCGAGGTTTTGCACTTACATTTATCCATATACCTACCCTATGTCACGTTTCCATTTCAAATGAAATCAATTAAAACTACACAATATCCCTAAACCCGGCCGCTCCCGACTACCACACAAACAGCTGGCGACTCGGTAACGTACACGATGTCCCCCTCCTCCAGCTTCAGGTCACAGCTCGGGTTGATGATGACGTAACTGATGCTGCCACGCTTCTCCGACACGTCGTCGTAGTCCTCCACTGGTAAACCTGCGAGAGGAAAGATCAGCATCACCAGACAGAAAGAACATAAATATATCCGGATGGAAATCAGTGACGAAATTATCCGCCACCTAAGGCAGTTATATTCTGAATAAAGATAGACGCATTTTATTACCACCCAAGTGAAATGCGCGATTCTGCATATTTTCAGCTGATAAGTAATAAGAAAGAATATCACTCACTCACTCACTCACTCACTCACTCACTCACTCACTCACTCACTCACTCACTCACTCACTCATTCACTCCCACACTCACCCAGACTTTGCATCCGACTCCTGACCAGCTGGGCGATCTCGGCCCTCTCAATCAGCTGAGAGTGATTCGCCTTCGGGTCCTCCTGCTGACCACACTGTGGGAAAATGAACATCAATCACAGCTGCACGGGATTCAGCTTGACTCACATGCCTGACTGACAGCTGACAGCTGGCCTGTGCCTAACTTGCTTCAAATGTTATAAATCTTTCTTGGATCATTGTTCCTTATGTGTTTATTTGTTACCTTGCCCTCTTGCTATGCGACCACAGTAAAGCAGCCATTCCCTTGTGTTTTGACGACAGAGCCGACACACGAGGTCGGAGGTCGGCTACCCACCAGGTCCGAGGCGCTCTCCGACGTGTCCATGGTGCGGTAAATGCCGATGGGAATCTCGCAGGTGGTCGAACACAGCTTCTGATACAGACGACCGTACGTTCGGATCCACATGTCTCCGGGAAGAATCCGCATCTGCCGCGAAAAACAAACAGCGCACATACGGCTTAAATTAATGGAACATTGTATTTACTCCAACAAACTACATAGTGTGATCTCTTAGGGATGCAGTTTTTCTCCAGCACCAAACCCAAAAGAACGAGCCGACCAGCATTCACAAAATAGGTAATTGAATGATAATTGCATGGGTTTGTCTTAGAAGGCCGAAACGGATAATACGGTACCATGGACCCAAATGAGCTCATCGGTCATGCTGTTACGGCTATTTGCGTCGATCAAGACTAAATAATCGTCCAGGGAGCATTCGCAATTATCGGTAATAAGATTTAGTCATTAAGATGTGATATCAAGTCAAATAAAATAACTACCTTGTAATAACTTATCATCTAAGCAGTTAGACAGCACCAAATGTAAGCACCGCAGCATTGTGCTGTGCATGACCAAGTGCACAGCGCTATCAAATTTGATAAATAAAATCAATAAAGTTTGTGCATAATAAAATAATCGATGACTTTTTGCCATTACATTATTGAGCTTGGTATTTGTTATTTAATTACAAATAGCAAGGTCATTACGGACCTTTATTATTGCATCAAACAATATGAATTAACCACAGTGCTGTTGACAGTAACATTTATGCTGCAGAGCAGCTCCCTATATATCTTCACCGGTTTCTCTCTGTACTGGTAGACTGTGCCGCAAGACTTCTGATTCATCCGGCACAGTATACCACTGCAGGCTTCTAGCTCCAGAGCCCGACGTCGGCAGAATGCCATCGGGCCGTTAGTCACAGGTATTCACTGATCCACAAAACGCAGCGATATTTGAATTTTGTGACTCAAATGCTGTATACCAGAGAAGACCTGGCACTTAGGAGGATTGGAATGCTTATTGCGGAACAGGGAATTGCACTTTATCTAAAATGAAACCGGATGAATAAATGCGCACACATTTCAGCAACAAAACGCATTCACTTCTCACACCAATGTTGAGCTGCAAATAATTAAATATGTATGTATGCATCAGAGCGCTTAATTATCGATTCCGCCGGCCCCGTTTCACCCTGGCTCCCGCCGTGCGTGCGTCTCTTACCGAGGTCAGGAACCCTGAGCCGGGCGCCTGGTCGATACCCAGCAGCAGCCGCACAAAGATGATGAGGTAGTCCTTGACGAACGCCTGGTACAGCAGCGTGTCCAGCATGCTGGCGCTGAACACGGAGCCGGCGGCGAACGGCAGCCGGAACATGCAGGAGATGTGCGAGCCGCGGTCCTTCTCTCGCTGAAACAGCCGGCCGACGTCGTCAGAGCCCAGCAGCGGCGCCGTGTCTGCGCCGCCGGCGCCGCGCGCCCTTCTCAGCTGGGGGTCACAGCGGGCGCCGCCGTCACAGCCGGGTCACAGGCACAGCCGGCGCCGCCGTCACAGTCCCAGCGGGCGCCGCAGTCACAGGGGGCGCCTCAGTCACAGCCGGGGTAGCAGTCACAGGAGCGTCGCAGTCACAGGGTCACCGCAGTCACAGACGGGGGTCACGGTAGCGCAGATGTCACAGGACAATACGAGGGGCGGAGACGTCACAAAAGGGTATTAGTCACAGGGGTGTTTCATCACCAAAAGACATTAGACGAGGGCATAAGCACTTTCGAAATTGGCTAATATGGTAATCTAGATGATGCAGGTGGATAGGAAATCTCACTGTGAGGCTGGGAGATCCATTGGAAGCCAGTCTGAGCCTGAACTGTCAGCAGTGACAAAAGACCAACCGGAAAATAAAAGAAATCGGGAAATATTGTAGCACTTCCTTCTCCAAATTAGCATGATAAAAATTTCTGGGCATAAACAAAATAATGCGTAAATGCGTAGTTCTGAAGCCTCAAGAAGTTAACGCTGTGCGTTTAGAGAATCACATAGGTAAAAATGTTTCGGAAAGTAGTGATCACTTTTGAGGCTAATTGTACCTAAGCCTATTATGAAGAGAGTGAGATTTATTTATGGGCTTGCCCAAAACAATGTTTCTTTTTTACTTCATACTCGACATTATATTCTAACTTATTACCGGGCTAATATTTTTCTAAATATTACAAAGGTCTTATCTCTTACAAAATAATCTTACAAAAGGCAACTTTTTCTTCGCTTTACATGACAAGTTGCAAGAAACGTTCCGAGAATACTTTGTCACAAAAAATCTGTCTTTTAGAAATATTCAGACAAAATTAATTGCATAATGCATATTGCATATCAATATTTAACCCTCGCCGGCCGAGGGGGGGGGGGGGCGGGTGCCGCCCCCCCATAGGGTTTTTTCGCGATAGCTCCAACCACGCTGGCGATAGAGAGCTGAAACTTGGCATACCTGACCTTTGATCCAAGCTGGATCTTTTGACACCAACCGCATTTTTGGTCAGGTCAGGTCACTGACCTATGACGTCATAAGTGAACCTCTGCACGGTCTTCAGATGTCGCAACTTCGCAACGCCCTCACTGCCAGAGGAGATGTCACAGGGAAATGAAACTCGCAGGATCTAGTATCCATTATGAGTCCCACAACTTGTATATCTCGGATTTTTCCTAAAGGTCATATGAGGTCAGGTCATTTTCGTGACCTCACCATTATAAGTCAATGGGGAAAAATGAAAACTGCTATTCTGGCGCCGGGAACGATCTCCAACTATCTCAAGCACACAGAATCGTGATTTGATGCACTCCTTGCAAGGTTAGATGCGTCACTTTTGCAATGTTGACCTTGCGTGACGTCATTTATGACGTCATCAAGGTCATATTAGTTTTTCGTCAATAACTCTTGATCAAATTGAGCTAGCGAGCCGGGAAGCCACCAATGGACTCAGGAAGACCTGCCGAATCGAATGATATGCGACATGACCTCTTTCGACCAACTTCGTGACCTGGGGGTGCTGACCTGACCTTGACCTGAGGTCAACACCCCAAGTTGACCTGACCCGGACAAAAAGTATATCATTCGACGCGCCTGAGCGAGACGAACACGATGCTGCCAAAATCGGCGCTCTGCGGCCGTTTTTTGCGAAGTTATTCACCAAAAACTGAACCGTACCTTGGGGCACTTGACCTGGCCTCAGAGGTCACCGGTTGACCTAGGACCTTAAAATCGGGTACCAATCTCTGCGTCTTGTAACGGCGCACACGCTCGTTTTTTCCGCGACGCGCTAGCTCCACCAGGGGCGAAACGGCGAGGGGGGGTCGTACCCGCCCCCCCCCCTCGGCCGGCACGTATGTAGAAAACCAATAGGTCCGGCGAGGGTTAAATTAGTTTTATATAGAGACTGCTGCTATTCTGTTCAAGACCAGCACTGACGCCTGTTAAAATCGTCAATCATTTTGTTTTTTTCAATCCCATATGGTATTCGAAAAAATAAATACCCTGAAGTTATTAAATTCATTAGTCACCCCTTGTGCCAGCCAATGTGATTATTTAGTTAGACTATAACTAAACTATGCAAATAAATGAAGCAACATATAAATACGAAGCGTTTTTGTCTGAAGTGCAGTGAATCTACATGTTGAATAATTTAATAATGCTAGCTGAAACTCACAACAGAGAACTCAGTAAAAGGAGCATATCTAATGGCAGCCACTATAATGAACAAATGATCAACGTCGACTGTATATTTTAGTTATTGCACTACTGACACCCGATCCACTAGGCTTCGGTCTGAGGCGGTCAGAGTACAGGCTCTGACCTCAGAGCGGCTGCCTAAGGCGTAGCCGGGGCGCCGACAGCAGGCACCGCGCCTTGACGAGCCAATCGCACACCCGTCGTTATGAGCCTGATCAGATCAATAGGCTGGCCGGTCACACACCAAGCCCTCTCGGCCCGACAGCCTTGAGGCGGCACAAGAGCGATCTACAGTCGGCTTTGGCCGCTCTCCACTGCACTGTGGCTATGACAACGGACGGACAACACGGCGGTCACTGGAGGCGCGGCCTCCCGGCGCCACGGGTCACGGCAGCGACTAGAGGCGCGTCTAACCATTCCGGGAGGCAGGGAGGGAGGGCCGCCGAGGCGGCGGTGCAAGCAGGAGTCAGCGTGCGGCATGGTACACAGTGCGGCTGCAGGGGGCGGACGGTGCCGGGAATACAGAGCTGCCTCACTGCTAGTGACACCAACTCGGGGAGCTACGGTTAGTTACTTTATCAAATGTCCTGCTCCAAAGGGACCTTTTCTCGGTCAGACGAACGGTGCCCCTTCTGTCGACGAAAGATGCCTAGAAGACGCAGCACTGGGTCACTCGCGAGCTCTTGGTGGGCGTAAGCGGTTAAGGTTTAAGAAGGGGTTAAGAACAGACCAAGAAGTAGTCGAAACACCTCACCCAGAACACCATGCATACACGCATAGATTAGAGGTACAAAATATTCCAACTTAAGGTGCATCATGCGGGAGAAATATCGGACAGATTTGAGACCCAGTGTAATGTACGAACTATCGGCTGAACAGATCCTGTGAGCATAAGGCAAAAAGAACAAAAGAAACACATTCACATATGTAAACAATTGGCTACCGGCTATTTCCGAGACATCTAAGAAACATCTGAGTCACGAAAGGATGAGAGAAGAGATAAATGGTCATAAGAAGTATCAAGAATGAAAGGCCATTACTCCTGTTGATAGCCTAAATAATATGTACAAACGACATAAGATCGTTAGCCCGCGCCCTGCTGGGGGGGGGGGGGTGTTTGAACACCCCCCTTGTGGTTTTTCGCGAATATCTCAAAAACGGCGGCGCGGAGCGCCGCCGTTTTTGGTACACCTTATTATACATCAATTCTACACATGTTGTGAAAATTTCAGACCAAGGTCATTCAAGGTCAGGTCACCAGGTCACTTGGAGTGACCTCACCTCATAAAAAGTTTCAATGTCTGTCATAGCTACACCGAGTGACCGATCGCTTTGAAACTTTCAGCGATTGCTAAGAGCAATAGTATGTACAAAATGTATATATCAGAATTTTGATATCGATGACCTAAGGTCAGGTCAATTTTGCGACCTCCCCATTATAAGTCAATGGGAGAAAATTGAAATGCGCCTCTTTTGGACGAAAGACATTATAAACACTCCCAAACACCGAATTACAAGTGGTTTAGACACACTGAACATGAAAATGGTGTCCGTGACCCTTGCTTATGCCCTGAGGTCATCTTAGGTCACGAATGATATCTAACAGTTTTTCGCGAATAACTTTTGATAGAGGCGTGCTAGAGCGATGAAAACGCCTTAGATGTGTTCAGCTCGACGATACGGATCGACTGATATGCAACATGACCCTTTCCGGTCAGGTCATGACCTTGACCTGAGGTCAAATTTTCAAGTTGACCTTTCAAGGTCAAGTTATAGTTCATTCGATGCGTCTTGACGAGAGGAACACGATGCCGGTAAAAGTAAGCTCGTACAAGGCTTGGGTCAAAAGTTATTGCAGAAAAACTGTTTCCGAAAAAATCGGCTATTTTTGCAGTTTTTGCCCCCTGCAGGCAAAACCGTTGACGTTAGGTCAAATCTGAAAGAATTACTCAGAAAGGGCGTTAATAGGGCTATCGAATGCGCTTTTCCGCGGCGCTGTAGCTCTATTGGTTCCCGAGTTATGCGTTGGCTTCTTGGAAATTGTCGACATTCGACCTGGAAATCGGCGAAATTTTGCCTTCAATGACCTCTGGTGACCTGACCTTTGACCTGACCAAAAAATTGACCGAAGTGATTTCGTCATTATTTTTGACGCTCTTTCGAACGCCGCCTTCCGCGTATCGCTACGTGGCCCAGGAGCCGAGTTACAAGGGGGGGGTGTTCAAACACCCCCCCCCAGCAGGGCGTGGAAATCCAGGACCCCCAGCCGGGCGCGGGTTAGTAGCTGGATAATAGATAACGAACGGCTTAATGAAGTGTTTTATGTTACAAAACATGTCACCTAACTATAAAAAGCCATCAAATGACATCCAAAAGCTATTCAATGTCTACCAAGCACACGCTTAAAATGAATTGAAAATATTTGGTACCTACACAACTTATTTTTTCTTTAGTTTCCATTTCAAACTGTACAACAGGCACGGATAATAAGCACCGCGAACCAGCGAGTATAAGCAAATGTAGTGAAGCCATCGAAAGAAGCACTCACCTTGTACCAGCAACAAAAAGACATAAACCAACCAGAGACATTGTACAACTTATAAAGAACTTAAGCGACAGATAAAACAAAATAGTTTCCTAAAACGAACTTCTTTAATCACTTAGGATTTCGAAACTATGAGTCATTGAGAAGTTGATTTCAATACGTCTAGCATTCAACAAATAAAATGATTGTCTGGAAAAGTTCTTACCAAAATTAAAGCAATGCCACGAACTTTTTACATAAATGTCTGGGCAATTAAAGTAATATAAATGTTAAGGTAAAACCAAATAAATAAGTAAGGTCATTTATTTTATGCTGTTTTCATTTATAAAACCAAAACCAATTAGCCGTGGCAAAAAGCAAGGGTTGCTGAGACACAGTTATGCCCACATTTTATAGAAAACCACACCTTTTCGATTTTTGACAGATGAAGTGCGTAGCTGTCCTGAGCTCGGAACTGCATAAACCGCATGTTTGAAGACTGGCTCAGCTCAGTGATTATCTTGATGCTAGGAAAGAATCTGAAAGGAAAACAAAGCACGGTGATATTCGGGGGAAGACAAAAACGGACGGAGAGAAACAGCTCCGGTCCTACAAGTGTAAGACTCTTACGTTTTATTGATCAGTCTCACTCATACTGATTATTATAATATCAGCAGTCAAAAAAATAGGTATCCACACCACGGTATGCAAAATATTGTAACAACATAATGCCGTTCGTCTAAGCTAAGGCGTCCAACAAAGTCCCACAAACACGGATGACGGTCGGTTAATCCCAATCCGTGGTCTATACCACTCGGCTGTTTTCAGTCTGGTTTGCGCCGTTCTCCCTCAGGCAATGATCAGTGAACGATGCACCCAGCGGGACCGTTTCTCTAAACTCAGAATCGACCAGACTCCGCCCGCCGGGGGAGGGGGGGGGGCTGTTTTGAGCCGCCAACACAGCTGACTAGTGGGAAACTCTCTAGGCGCAGACCAGTTAATGTGTGGTCGCTGGCTACATGAAAGACACTGGTTCGCACGGCAAGGCACATGAAGAGTGAGCAGGTAATCGTCCTTTTAAGTTTGAGCAAGCAATCTTCCTGTTCAGCACTGTATTTCAATTCGGATTAGCACTAAATCAGACACTATGCACAGGAACGAGTTTGAAATTGCCGCATTGCTTGAAACTGCGAGTTACATGAAAATTTAAACCATCAGTGGAGACCCAATTGGGGTAATGACCGGGCCAACAATCAAATCTTATGTCAAATGGCTGAAAAACTACAGACGGACGTCCTAACTGCGCTCGGTCTGTCGGTCTCACTTGAACATGGTCTGCACGGCGACGATTGTGTTGGAGTCGGACAGCGAGTCCTCCTCGATGGCGTTGTTCTGCTCCTTGTTGACCACCACCACGTTCTCGGCCAGGTTGATGCCCGCCCGACACAGATCGTCCAGCCTGCAGGTCGTCGAGTAGAGGGGAGGGGTGTCACCCGGCCGACGACACGAGGCCACGTCTAGGAGGCGGGAGCACGCCAGGCTCAGTACTGCTGATAGTTATGATGGTTCTTAGCTGCGATTTCCCAGACGATTACAACAAGTTCGCCTTTAGGCTACTTCAACAAAAAAAGACAATAGCAAGCACAATAAGTCATGCTGAATGAAAACCAGGTTTCATACAAACCTCTTGAAAAATCATGACAAAAGAAGGTTGTTAAATCAATCCGAAATGGCTTATACCGTAAAATCTACTAATTTCCTACATTTGGTCAGGGCAAATTACTAAGAGTGGCCCCAGTGACTGGCAAAACAGCAATAAACTACATCGGCTGACAGCGAATGGGCGAAACAAACACATCTCGGGCAGCAAAACAAGGGAGATTGAATGGAGAATGAATACGGAGCCCATTGTTTGAAAATAGCACCGGCGTAGTGACCCTTTGCGTGGCTAGACGGGTATCAGATCAGGCCGTTTGGAGCATCGGGCTGCGATTGCTGTGATTGAAATTATACCCTGCGAGCTATCGTGGGCACAAACAATAGCTCACGAGGTCAATATCTGAAACAACTTTACCGGAAAGTGTTAATCAAAAATTATTTAAGATCCTTTCCGGCTAGGTGTTATTGATTGTGGTAGAGATGTGTGATTTTACACGACAATGAAGGGCGCCCTCGTTCATCGCTTCAGCTACCGTAAAGTGGGGCTATTTGAGACAGTGGGGCTATTTGAGACAGTATTTAAAATCGCTATAAAATGAAGAGCGTTTGATTTCTATGTGATATTTCTGCTCAGGAATGTGTGGAATCGAGCAGTAAATCGCCTGAGCAAAAATTAAACATAAATTTCAAACGGTTTTTATTTTATAACAATTTTAAATACTGTCTCAAATAGCCCCACTGTCTCAAATAGCCCCACCTTACGGTACCTACATGTTGCTTTACCCTCGGATTACACAACAGCGGCCTCGCCGGTCACGAATCCATCTAAACCTGTCACGGCTGCGCGGCAGTGCGCCGTCTGTTTCCGAGCAGACGGCGTGGGACGCTATCACCCGGCTCTGTCGCCGGCGGCGGCACACCGGAGCTCGGCGCACCGGCACCTTTCCGAGAGCAATCAGCCGGAGCCGAGAGCGCGCCGGCCGCCCGTCCAGGCACGCTCCGGCGCTCAGCGAGCGGCTCCGGAGAGCGAGCGGCGCGGCGGCTCCGAGCGGCGAGCGAGACGAGAGCTCTGAGCCGCTGACATAGAGGTGCTCTGGGCCGCTGACATAGAGGTGCTCTGGGCCGCTGACAGCGGGGAGAGGCGCTCTGGAGAGAGGTGATCTGGAGAGAGGCACTTTGAGCCACTTCGCTCCATGTCTATTTTCTGACACTATTCTATCTTTCCTTCACCGTAACCTTATTTGCCCGTAGATTTTGCTTCATGCTTACATGCCCGTGTCGATTTAACTAGCCCGACTGTCTTTCACCCTACTTCTGAGTTAGAGATGACAGTCGCTCGTTATCCGTGACGTCACGGGCGAATTGTGGCTGTCCGGCGTCTGAGGTGATGGTACCGTCGTCAGGAGGACAGCCAGGCGAGCCGTGATCAGAGGAGTGGGGGGAAGGTCTGGAGGGTGCAATCAGAGCCGACATGGGGCGGATCTGGAGACGGGCGGGTCTTTGATGACACAACAGGTCCGACCCACTTTGATGGCACACTGCTGGTGTGGATCTGCGCGTGAGACAATCAATGGTGCGCGCGAACATGAAAGGCTCCTTAGAGACCGAGAGAGGATGGTGTAAAAGCGATCTACCAGCATAGCGTGGAGCTGTGAATACGTGCGAAGGTGTTTTCCAATTGTTCTTGTCTGCTCAACTGGCCATTTGAATGAGGAAAACGCGTTGCAAAATCATTACAGTGCATCGTTGTTTTGATAAGACAATAATTGCACTACATATTTAGTGCAAACTTAGGTGATACAGCGTCGTAACCAATATACTGCGTCACTTTTGATGTTCCACAAGTGGTTCTTGGTATACATAATATTGCATTGTTCATTACGACTACGACAGAAAACGGAGGTCACGCTACAGAACATGCGCTCCAGGTCGTCTCCTTATCGTATGATCGCAAGGAAGCGAGGGCAAATCCTCTCGGTATTTGTGAAACTGGGTTTATGCCGCGGTCGATGGACTACTGACACAGTTCCACCGACATTGCTGTCTCCAGAGACCGCAAATGGCACACTCATGGCTCGACTTTGGCGCCATATGTAGGTCATGATGCTGGTATTTGGTTGGGAAGCACGCTTATACAAGAGCAGCAGTGGCGGCGGAAGGTATTCTAGGATAGGGGTGCAAACTATATTGAAGCGCCCCTTCCCGCTGGGCGCCCCTTACCATATACACGGTTGTAGTAACACAAACAGTGAAGAGACGTTTGACAATGTGTTGTACCTGTTAACACGTTCAGAATTGCAGTTTTTATGTAACGAGAAATAGTTAGGTACATTCCATAGCGTAAATGTAACCTTCATAATGTTCGTTTAGAAACAACCTCATCACCATATCATAAGATTCTCCGAATAAGGCATATCGAAAAGAGTTCCACGGTTCCAATACCTTCGTGTGGACTAGTGAATAAGGCGCCGAATCCATAACACTAACTCGGTGACAGAGAATTGCAGGCCGGTAAGCAGCATGCCGCCTGGGCTGCACTGCACTATTGCATTCAGTGGTGTCATCAGTATCACGTCAGCCCTTCGGAACGGGCATCCCGAGGAGCCCGAAATGAATGAATACAGGCAATCAACGCTGGTAGGTGTCCCAGCGAAATGAATGCATCTATTACCACCCAGAGGTGCCCCCATTTCAAACTAATACGACGGCGACGCCTCCACACCGATAGGGGCCCATCCCAGGGGAACGGAATAAATGCCGCCCCCTCATTGCCGGGCGCCCCAGGAGAATGAATGTTACACATCAACACCAATATGCCTCCCAGTGAAATGAATTATGAATGTCGCCTTTCGACGCCGGTAGGCGCCCCAGACACCAGTGGATTTACTGCCGCCTTAAAACACTGATAGGCACCTCAGTGAAGCGAATGCCGGCTTAATTACCACCCAGAGGTGCCCCCATTTCAAACTAATACGACGGCGACGCCTCCACACCGATAGGGGCCCATCCCAGGGGAACGGAATAAATGCCGCCCCCTCATTGCCGGGCGCCCCAGGAGAATGAATGTTACACATCAACACCAATATGCCTCCCAGTGAAATGAATTATGAATGTCGCCTTTCGACGCCGGTAGGCACCCCAGACACCAGTGGATTTACTGCCGCCTTAAAACACTGATAGGCACCTCAGTGAAGCGAATGCCGGCCTATACCACGGATAAGCGCCCCGGATGAATAAATACCACCCGCCAACGCCGATAGGCGCCTCAGTGAAATTAATGCCACCCCAGTCTCCGATAGGCGCCCCAGGTGATACATGTCGCCCATCAACACCAACGGGCGCCCCATTGAAATGAATACCGCCCTTCAACACTGGCAGACGCCCCAGTGGAATGAATGCCGCCCCACAATGCCGATGGCCGTCCCTGCACTGGAAAATCCGTTTCGCCCCTATACAGGCGCCCATAGAAGTTTGCAGAGTGCTATTCCTGGTCATAATCATCTCCCCAGTAAAAAAAAAAAAAACGCAAAATACGCCCTAGCACTAGAGGTGTAACCGCCCATACGGACAGTGTACTTTTACAGGCCCCAATCTCGGACCTCCCTTAAAGGGACCCTCCCACCTTAACATTAGATTTGAGTTGAGATAGCCAAAATGGGGTCCCTGGCTCACAATTACCGGTTACGGCACTCACAACATCGAGAAATGCCTTAAATCGGAAATATTGAATTTCAAAATTGCAGCATTTTGATTCAGAGGGGCTAATGCATAGAAATACCCCTCTGAATGTGTGACGTCATCGCAGATATCAAACGATTTTTAAATGTTTGACTAAAACGTTTTGTAGCACGCGGTGGTATATGCTGCTTTGCGCGCAACAAATGCCGCACTTTCAAATAAAGTCGCTAGGAACAGCGGAGATCCCAAAAAGTAAACAAAAGTAAAAGTCTAATATCTTGAAAACTGGTGAATATTTTTCGATGAAATTTTGTAGATAATCGTTTTTGCTCTTTCTGAACCGAGCGACATCACTTTCATGCTAATTCATTAACTTTTTTGAAGGTGGGAGGGTCCCTTTAACATTCATATGTTGTAAACGGCAAACCGCCCCCGATGAATGTTACTCAAACTAATTTCCTCTCGCATATCGGCCATCAGGCGCCCCTTTTTGTCGCATCGCATGGAGCCTGCAACGCTATAAGCCCTCATACATATGTTCGTGTTGGCGTTCGGAGGCTATCGCCTTCAAAGACGTCTCCATAAATGTTTCTTTTTCGTCCCACACACAGGCGCCCCTCTTTCGCATGCAGGCGCCCCTCTTCCGCATGGCGCGCTTCTCGAGTGGCTGCGCCCTCCTAGCCTTTATCGCATGGCAAGATTATATTCGACAGGGTCGGCAGCATCTGCCTTTGTTTCAGATAAGGATGCCCTCCACTCTTCAGCATATCAAAAGATACTTTTCCCACGTCATTGCCACCCTCTTCGTGTCACAAGTGCCTTTATCAGTTGCGGTGTCGCACTGCTCAGCTTTATGGCTGCCGCACCTCTTAACTTCCTGCCTCTTCTACAGATTTTCGAGGCGCCCCTTTCCATAGCTTTAGGGTGCAGCTGTCCCCCTTGCCCCCTGCTTCCGCCGCCACTGAAGAGCAGGCGATGAGAGGTTACGTTGCAAGATGTTAGTCATGCTAGACATACCGACGAGAAAATCTTGAAGGATATCACAGCGGCTACTCTTAGACTAAAACTATATGTAATTGTAATTCTATAATTCATCAAATGAGTAGAAAAGTGATAGCTAGAACTCAATCAACCAATTCTTAAAACTAAGGCGGAAGAAAAACAATTTCTGTTTTGCTATCAACCCATTTCTCCCACAATTGCCTCTGAGCTGAATCCCCCCATTTACACTGTGTGCCTATGGCGTGCGTGTGTCTACTCACGAGTCGATTGATCCGAGCATCCAATAGACGAGCGGGAAGTAGCTGATGGCGTCCAGGAAGGGCAGGTCGGGCCGCCGCTCCAGCAGCAGGATGATGGGGTTCAGTGACGACTTGGGCCGGAAGTGCGCCCGCAGCGGGATGATGAAGTTGTAGATGCCGTTGGAGGCGAAGTCGGCGGCCAGGATGACGGCCTTGTTCTGCCAGCTGTACTCCTTGGCTGAGCGGTACGAGCAGTGTTCGCACACCTGTCGACCGAGACGGTCCGTCACAGCTGCGCCACTGGCCTCCGTGGCAGCCGGCTGTGAGCGCTGGCTGACTCTGGAGTATTTGTCTGTGATATCCTGCTTGGATACCAATTTTGAAGCGTTCAATCCAGCTCTGACATGCAGGGTGCGTATTACAGACAGCTGCGGCTTATGATCAATGCAGACGCCATTACTCAGGTGAAGTTATTTTCTCCGCTCTTGTCGCTGGGTTCAGAATAGTATTACAAAGATAATGAATTGTTTTATCTACGTTGGAAACAAAAGTTTTTTTTTTATATAAATTTAGTCCGCACCTTTTGATTGGAAGGATTCACAAGGACAGAGCCCCCGCTACGCGGTGTGTCCCGTAGCTCAGTTATAACATTAACTTCACGGTTATAGCTTATTGAATATTGTTTTTTAAATTAAAGACTAACCTTTATGCTTTAAAGTTTAATGTCAACAAGTGGCACATGCACTCAGCTTGGATGAACTGTTATCCCTTCGTTGAATGCGCTCGGTAATTATCTGGACAAAACTTTGCAATGCGTGCCAGCATAGTCCTTCAAAGTCATTGTTGGACAATACCTCATAATGCTCCTCGTAATCAAAATTTAACAGTGTCGCGCCTGCAGCGGTAGCGCTGCCCACACACAGTCGATGGTCCGATGACTATCGGCCGTGGGGCCGGCCTGCGTCGATAGACTGTGCCACAGTACACGGGATCGATGTGGCACAGCCTATACCGCAGCGCGGATCGATAGCACGACAGGCGGCACCGGCCGTTTGAGGAGCACCACACGTCATCTGCGTCCAACGCAGTCGGACATCAGAGTGTACTCGGACGGCCCTACAAGTGTCAGAAGTCAGACCGTATCTATCACCGCACGGCAGCGAAATAACGGTCCAAACGGCATCAAACGGCAGGGGTAGTTCAACATCCATAACTATGATTGTTGCTTAGTTCAGACAATCATACATAAAGGGCAATTGGGACCTGGGAGCGTGTACATACTGCTTCCTAGATGGCAAAATGTTGCATTTTGGAAATAACGTTGAACTTAGAAATATAGTATCTCATGTTTTTTGCATGAGTCTGTACGACCGAACAATGAAAACTTGATAAAGATCTGCCAACTTTAGAAGGTTGTGACGCCAGATTTGTTCAATAAAGAGCTGATAAAAACTGCTGATTATGGGAACGGTGACAAAACGTTGTAGCTTTTTATTCTGAGGGCTAATCAACAGCATAGCTTTGTTAACAGTACCATTTGTGAGTCAAACATCGCATTCTGAAAACCGATGACGCTATCAATTCGGTACAAAACTGACATAATTGGCCGTCCTGTTCATTACACCGCTCTCTCGCCTCCGGCTCACTCTCTCCTCTCCTCGTTCTGGGTACTCTCTGTAAGGAGGCTGTAGCTCATTAGCCGTCAGGGAGGAAGCCAGCGCACGCCATTCAGCCACGTTAATCAGCCATTAGAACGGCCCGGCGGACATCAGTCGGCCAGCCTACCGTCCGTGCGAGCGGACCAGAGTGGGAACATGGACAACAACATCCCACACTTACCGAGGGCCGATACTGTCTGCCCACGGAAACAATGCCGGAGGGCAATCGAGCTAAAGCATTTAGCATTGTTCCGTGCTGCTATTGATGCGGATGTACTGCTACCTTAGCCCGACGTGATTTTACCTTCGCAATAATTAACTAATGTAATCACATTAGTAGCGTGACTTTTTTGCAACGCGTGTGACCAGAGGCAGTCAAGTGATCTATTCCCACTACCACTTCGTTCCACGTTAGGTCATTGATTTAACGATCCCATCAGCTTGACAGTCCCGCCGTCCCACCCCGACTGTCGGCTGTCAGCTGAACCGTACCGCAGTGTCAGGGCGGTGTCAGGGCGGTGTTAGTTCCGTGTCAGGGTGTGAGCTCTCAGTGTCAGGGTGTCACTCTCAGTGTCAGGGTGTCACTCTCGTGTCGCAGCGTCACTCACCTGGGCGAGTTGGAGACAGCAGAGCGGCTTCTTCTCCCGCAGCAGGTAACAAAGCGTGGGACTGACTCCGATGTACGGCGTCACAGGAGGAAAGCCCTTCACAATCCTGCCGGCGGGACACAACGGGTCACTCACTGACAGACCAGCGCCTCGCCCGAGCAACTTTTCGTCCGGCTCCTAAGTCTACGAGTAATATAAAACATCACTAAAACTCTGCATGGGGCTCCATCAAGATAAGCAACAGTGACAATCCCCACTCTAGCTCCTTTCGTTCCCTCAAACACCCGGGTTTGTTCGCTGGTTTCCCCGCCCGTCTGTACACTATCCGTCCGGTCCAGCAGTTGAGCGGCCAGGCGCCGTCGGTGCCGACTTCATTGAGGCGACACGGAGCCGCGGTCGGGTGCGGCTCGCCAAAGCCGGCCTATTTGTCTAATGAGTCGCCCACGTCACGCGCGCTGTCTAATATGCATTGTAATGTTCCGGTCCGGTGACACGGTCCCCGGGGGGTGGGTGGGGGTGGGGGGGTTCGGACTCGAGCGCGGAGTTATAGACCGAACGATGGGCACGTCAGGCCCAGGGACAGGCCGGAAGGACAGCGATGAATGATCTGCGTGGCGCGTGCAGTGGGGATGCCCACAATGAATTTGAGACAGACCTGAATTTGTAGTGATGGCTAATGTAACAATAAAAAAGCAGGACACGGACAATTAATACCAGATGTTAATCAAGGACAGAAATAAAGTAAACAAAGCCAATAAAAGTAATTCACTCAAAACCACTATACTACTCAGGTATGACAGTGTGTACTGACGCGATTTTCTCGCTGGGCGGCCTCCATGGCACGCTGTCGATCTCGTCCTCCGACTCGCTGCGCTCGTCACTGCTGTCACGGCTGCCGCTGACGTTCAGCGTCGACGACGTGAACTGGTCGGGCACCGGCAGGATGCTGGGCCGCCGCGCGCCTGCCCGGTCACAGGTCACAGAGGTCAGAGGTCAGGTCTGATTTCAAAAGTGAGAGCTCAGTGTTCAGAGCTCACGCCAGCGCTCAGAGTTGTCAGCGCCGCGCTAGTTTTTTTCCGGCGGCACGTCCTTGTCTGTCCTCAGCGGCTCGGGTGGATCAGAAATATCGATTGTCGCTGATGGAGCTCCCTCGAGCCGACACCACACCGACACTTAGAGGCGGACCGGACCCGGGGGCGTTAGTCACACCGGGAAGCGCTATAACCGCGCAAAGAAGCCGACAACCCGACCGGCTGACACAGGCGATTGGCAAAAAACGGACAGAAAAGAAACGGTGTGGTCATCCACTTATATAGTTATTTATTGAAATAAAAACCATCACAAATGGGGACGCTTGTTGTAAAACATTTAACGATTCTGAGGAACCTGACATCCGCCTATGAAAATTAAAGCATCCTGCTGCCAATCGATAGTCATTTCCTGGGCGAAATTGCATCTTTACGGAGTCTACGTGCCTCCCCAATGTTGCGGGATTAAGCGCGGTAATGGGAAATCAATTCGCCTCCGATGGTCGAGCGAGTGGACAGCAGACTGCCCAGTGCCCAATCATGGCGGTATAGCTGGTGCTTCGATGGAAACAGCCATACAAGCATAGCGCACTTGCAAGCGATATAAACATGTAAGTGATGTAAGTCACTGATATGAAAACCAGCTTTAGTTCATTGTCTCACCTTTCGTTCTGATTTCTTATGCTGGAACAATTCACACCAGTATAACACCTTTTGGGGCGACTAACGGAGCGAGCGAGAGGGTGAGCCTTGCACGTGCAAAATTTCGAGGGGGTACCTCCAGCTGACTTGTGCACGGCACCCTACTAACCGGTCTCTAGCGATGGGCCAAATTTGAGCACAATCGGACCAGCCGTTCTCGAGATCTGGAAGCGGCACCCTGCACGTGCGCACGTGCAAAATGGGTCCCAATTGACTTTTGCACGGCACCCTACTAACCGCTCCCTAACCATGTACCAAATTTGAGCGCCATCGGTCCAGCCGTTCTCGAGATCTGGAATCGACCCCTGCGTGCACGTGCGCACGTGCAGCAGCACCCCAACTCTGGCACATGGATATGCATTGCCTAGTGGATGCCTACCTATATGCCAACTTTCAGCGCAATCGGCCAAGTAGTTACCGAGATATTGCAACAATTACAAAAGTGACACCTCTTCGTTTTGCACGCGGCACGTGCATAAGGGGTCACCCACATGCATCGAGAATAGTCCAATACTTGGTAGAAGGAATGAAGCTGCCCAACAAAATTTACCGCTTGTAAATCGGTCAAGTGGTTGCTGAGATATAAGCGTCGCAGAATCGTGACCACGGCCGGCTGGCCGGCCGCTCATACTCAGAAATTTCCGTTAATCTAAGGAAAGACTACGCTCGCTTCGCTCGCTCCGTAATAAGTATGCCCTGACCATTGACCAGGCTTGAGGCTAGGCCATGGATCTTACAGACAGAAACATTCAAGGCAGCTGACGTGACCTAAAATACATCCTGTCTGCATACGCATGCAACAGCTGTGCCGATGAGTAGCCTGGCATGATACACAGCACACAGCAAGCTAAGATAACGTCTATGCTCGACAAGGTGTTTCTTTGGGAGATACACTCGTTCTACAAAACTAACAATAGGTATCCCGGCACTACACAACCTAACAACAGACACCTCAACATCTACCAAACGCACATCTTCTGCACGCGTCCATGATACTTTTAGTGACACAAACCTCACGCCCATCCACAGCTCGCCCCCCCCGGGGTCCACCCTCTCTCTCCGGTCCCTCAGACGCCATTAACCTCGCAGTCTGCCCACGGCGCGCGGCTGGGGCAGCGGACCGGCGCCGCTTAGTGCCACGAATGACCCCAGCGCACGCCAGTCACGGGACACGTAACCCTCTGCCGGTTCACGCCACTTGGGGAGAGAGGTTCTCAGAATTTGATCGATCACTGCACTACAGGGGGTCTCTCTGGTTGGTCAACACTTGTCATACCCCTACCAGATGTGGCAAGGTCAAAGCGATATTCCCTTTCCGTCACCTCTGGGTCGGTGTCCGCTACGAGCGGACGTACGGTGGGGGTCTACGTCACGGTCAGTCTCATTAGCGCCCTCAGCTGACAGAGCCGTGTGAGGGGACCGACAGCGGCGCAGAGGAGAAACCCGAGAGACCGATGACTCATCGCCGGCGGCGGCTTCCGAAATACGGGGGGGGGGGGGGGTGAGAGCGGCGCTGCGGCCGAGGAGGAGAGCAGGGCTGGAGCAGGGGATGCTTCAAGGAATCTTCAACGAATATGCGTTTTTCCTCAGGTTTGCTGTAGATTGAAGGACAAGCACACATTTTGTCTTATTGAATATTGGCGTCCCCCCCCCCTCCAGGGCGAAATCGAGTCCTGTCGCAATAGGCATAACATTACTAGACATCCATCTCTCTGGAGTATTGCAAATGGATACTTTTTTTAGCATTTCATGAGTATTGCAGATGGATACCTTTGACCACACTTATTCACACGTAAACAACGAGCACATGTGCAAAAAACGATAGGTGAGATGGCGTCTACAACCGCGGCTCTGCTTAAATCTAAGTACATTTACCCTGTGGTACAGTAATACGACTTCCAGCCCTGACTGCATTTAGTGCGAGTACGGAAATGTGCACTGTGCAGTGACGACAGTGCCTACATCAAACGGCCGCACACATCTTTTTAACAGATATACATCGCTACACACAGCATTCACCGTTAAACACTAAACAGGTAACTTACTAATGCTGTGGGAGTCGGGGTACGCGTTGAGTGTGATAATGCTCGGCCTTCGTGTGGCATCTGTAGAAACGGGGCAACACATATACACAAACAGTTACTATCATTTGCTTTGGGTGGATAAAAGGGCCACTGCATAGCCGATTGGCATGAAAGAATGCCCGATTCGATGAAATGTAAGTTCTGTATAATGTAGCTGATTGTGATCTGGGAATATCGTCCGACGCCTGAGGCTCGCCCAACCGCATGATCCGCCTGCCAAGAGTGATAGGAAACTGTAGGCGGCATTTGTCACCATACCAGAGCCGACCCAGTTTAAAAATAAACTGTTCCAGGTTCTTTTCGACACCAGCATTAGCGGGCTAGTTAATGACCGTACGGGCGTACTGTGAGTCGAATTCCCCGTTATATATCCAGCTTTGCGTCGGAATGTCTGACAGGCCCTGATTAAAAATGAGAACTTAGTGGACTCGTTACTAAGTTCGTTCTCACTACAGTGCATCAACGTCTCAGCTGGCTCCTCTTGGACGTCGTATACTATGTGCTTAGCGGAAAACTTGGTCCAAACGCCACGCAAACATTGATTAGAACTTTCAGAAGCAGGAATAAAGAGACAGCGAAAACGGCCCAGTTCTACTGAAATGAATTTATACCAGTAATAATTTCGGGAAGTAGCCTCATGGAAGGGCTCAGAGTGGCTCATGAAACCAGGTCTGCAGCTGATGGAAGCAGGGTTCCCGCAGGTCTTCAGTTCATCCTTGTAGCGGACAGACGAGATACTTTGAAGCCTAGCTTCACATAAAATCGCCTGTTGACACGGTTCAAAGAAACATTATGCAAGCTGATATTGCAAAGCCGTGCAGACTGCAGACACCAAGTTGTCACAGGCAGTGTTAAGAATGAGATTAAATATATGTTGATTAAAATCAAACCAGAAAGGAGAGTTGAAAACAGTCGTAAAAAACTGCAAACCTAATTTAGGTAAATTTAATTTAAAGCCTGCTACACTGCAGACGAATCGTCTCGCGACACTCTCATTCATGTTAACGATGTTCAATGACATATTGACGTTGTTTCCGGTCAGTACCCCGTCCCAGCTCACTGGGTTTTTACCTCCTCCTCCCAGACATGCGTCTGTGTCACGGTCCCGCCGCGTCTCACTGACCTATCCGGAGGGTGGCCCTGTCTCACTGACCTATCCGGAGGGTGGCCCTGTGTCACTGACCTATCCTGAGGGTGGCCCTGTGTCACTGACCTATCCGGAGAGTAACCCGTCTCACTGACCTATCCGGAGAGTATCTCGTCTCACTGACCCATCCGGAGGGTGGCCCTGTGTCACTGACCTATCCTGAGGGTCACTGACCTATCCTGAGGGTGCTCCAGGTCACTGACCTGCGAGGGTGACCCGTGTCACTGACCTATCCGGAGGTTATCATGTGTGACTGATCTATTCGGAGGGTATTCCGTCTTACTGACCTATCCTGAGGGTGTCCCGTGTCACTGACCTATCCTGAGGGTATATCGCATCACTGACCTATCCGGAGGGTGGCGCCGGGCGGGTCCCCGGCCTCCACCCGCGGTACGTCCAGGTGGTTGGAGCTCATGCTGGGTACGCTGCCGCGGCTCTCGCAGCTCATTCCGCGCTGCAGCTCGCGCAGCGGGCGCTCCCGCAGCTTCTGCTTCTCCAGTGCCACCATGTCCACTGTGGGAGATAGAGAGAGAGAGAGAGAGAGAGAGAGAGAGAGAGAGAGAGAGAGAGAGAGAGAGAGAGAGAGAGAGAGAGAGAGAGAGACCGGTCACCGCGGGGCCCAAGCACTCTTCCATTCCGTTGCCAGCCCGCCATTGTCTTCAGAGGGCCACCAACTACCTCCGTGGGCGGTAGCATCGGTTAGCGACGGCGAAGCGCGGAATAATTTGCACGGGGAAACTTTCTCTGGGTGCTGGTATTCAAAGATACGACAGCGTGTTACCATACACAGAGGGTATATGTGTAGCGTGTTATGAAACACTGCATCCTTAAACACAATAAAGTACTTCCGATCCTGAGGAAGGTAGAGATTGATTGAATTGGGAGGATAGCATCAATGCATGATGGTGAATATTTGAGGTGGACAAAGCCAAGAGCATTTATCGATGCT